AAAAAAAAAAAAAGAAAGAGAAAGAGATGATGTCTAGCTGAAAGGGAGAGTGAGGATATAGTAAAATCTGTTTTCTTGAAGATGTTACACATTGAGAGAAGCTACGGATAGAAAGTCTCAACAGATAAACAAGAGCTTCACAGCCGATGCTCTCACCTGATATGTGGTGCAGAGCTTAAGTTAAGTCTTGGGAAGTGGCAGTGGGCAAGGTGGGGTCTGGGGAAGCTGGAAGGAAGACAACCCGCCGTGGGTGGTTGGGTCACTTACCGGATTATCACTGTGGTCTACAGAAAACATCATGCATCTCCTCGTTCTGTCCTTAGGACCTGCTTTGAACAAAGCTGGAGCTCAAGGCACTGTGATGCTTCCACAGATGCCCACCTTCAGGGAACGAATTCTAGTCGCCTAAACTCTACCCGTAGATATTGATACTTCCAGTCATGGGTGTTAAAATATGGTATTAGATGGCCCAAGGGAAAAGGAGAAGAAATAGATGAGTCTGGATGAAAGTTATTGTAAAAGGAATTGGGGACAGAGGGAGAAGGGGGGATGGAATAGAGATTAGAAAAAAAATGAATGAAGAAATCTGAAAAAAAGGAGAGTAAAATTCCCTCAGTGCAACCTCAAGGCCAGAAACCCAGATGAGGAAAAAGTGAGACAATGAGTGGACTCACACAATATTGCAAGAAAATCTACATGAAGATACGTGATTTCGACTTTAGATAATAAGGACAAGTCAACTCTGTCACTAAATGAATAATACTCTGTAAATTTATGGGGACAGTTTAGAATGACATAAAGATTTTTAACTGGTATGCTTTTCAGCACACTGGTATGCTGTGAAAAATTTTAAAGATCATCAATTAAATTACTTTCAAAAGGAGTTCAAAGCACAGTGAGTATATTCCCTTTTTTTTACTCTTTTTTTTTTTTTGCTTAACATAATTTAAGTGTGCCGTGGATGTTTAACTATGGGTTCAACATAGCGTATATGCTCCTTACGGCAATTACCATATTTGAATTTTAGGTAGATGGTTGCAATGGTTAGGTTCCTGGATTAGTAACAGAAATGAAATAACTTTTAATTAAAACAATAAAATGGAGAGTGTCTAGAAGACAATGGATGTATTTTATGAAGAAAGTAGGCTGTATTTTTTTTGTAAACAGGTAATCCTGATGCAGGTGGTCTGGACTGATCTTAGAAGCACCAGTGAGTGCTTCTTAGTGAGTGGATGGAGTAATATTTGTGATAAAAGGCCATGAACGGGATCCAGGGATTTTTATGATGTGTATCACATTCCTCAAGTGATTTTAATACAGACCAAAGTTTGAAATCACATGCATGGGCGTCTTTCCTGGTGACCCTCACATCAGTCTCCTGGGCCTCCTGTGGGTTTTTGGCCAGTCCAGACCTTCCCCTGCATTAGC